TTTGAGTTAGATGAAATGGTTCTATCCTGCTTAAATCTATGAATCCATGAAATATCTGTTCTGAAAAATCAAACTACATTGGAATGAAACCAAAACCAGATTTTAAACTGCTATTTGTATTACAAATGTGATTATGCCAGAGACTCCTTCTAACACAGACAAATTCTCTCAGATATTATTAGAGGACCATGACAGCAGGGGAGACTTTGCTGTCTTCATAAGATTTAGACCATGTCGTTAATGCCCAGAATGCTTCTACCAGTCACCTCAGGGGTTATCCTGCTATCACCCAGCTCAGCTATCTCATTCTCAATGGCTTTAACTGCATACTTGAGGGAAAATGGAATTCACAGCACAAAAAAAGTTTCCAGTATCTAGAGAATTAAAACAGCACAGTTCTTGCATTCAGAAATATTTCAGATGCTACTGTTTTACCAGTAGGATGTACAGCTCTACTCACTGTACAGGCTGCATGGCTCTTGTTGACTATTAAAGTCATGATACTTTAAAATTAATGTTCTGAAAAGGTATATAAACCAATAAAGAAGGCACAGGAAATACAGAGGTAATTAGAATTTTTGTTTTCTTTATGCATCTAAGATGCTAATTAATACAGAAAATATCAATATCTAGTGGGAAAAGCAAAAAAAAATGTTTTAAATTTGTATAAAATATCATAATGAACATTAGTAGTTTCCAGTTATAGTAGAGCATTTTCATGAAACATTTACTTTCAGCTTAAGGCCAAATTTTCTCAGTTTAAAATATAGCTTTTCCAACAGAGATTTCAAAATCTAAAAATTCTCAGACAAGGGTCCAACTGGGAAGAAGAAGGGAGAACAAAGACCACATTATAAAATATATGCACACCAGGAAGAAAATTAACAAGAGACGTTGGTTTGTTCAGCCTGGAGAGGAGAAGGCTTTAGGGGCAACTAATAGTAACCTTCCAAAACCTACACAGAGGTTCTCAAGACAGCATCAGGCTCTTCACAATTCGCTTTGCAGTAATTAGTACTGTTGGAAAAACCAGACAGGCTTTCACATACACAACCCCTTCTTCAGGTCTGATATAGAAACAGCATACTTCAAAGCCTGAAGAAGAATTACTGAGAATTTAATTAGTAAAACTGCATTTAGACATTAGATCAGGTAAACCAACTACTTTCTGTCAGAGATGGACAAAATGATACATGCACAACTAGATAAATAAATGCTATCAAAATTATCTCACACTATAGCCTGCTTCTGCCTACAAATCTTTTGACTAATTTTTTTCATGTTTGCAGATTTTCTTTTAATATACATTTATACTCCAATATGCTGTCTTACTTTAAAAAAGAATGTTAAATAAAATGTTCCACTTACTAGAACAATAGGAAGTTCAGTTTTTGCAGATATCACCTTTATATGTTTTAATTGTTACTAGAACTAGTATTATTCTCCACATGGATTAAAAAGGAGCAGCATTATAAGACATACACTGCTGCTGTGTGATCACAGAAATTTAACGACAAGACATGAAAGTGACTAGATACTCTGGGATGCAACTCCAGGTCTTACAGAAGACTATTATAAAGCTTTTAAGAGATCATTTGCTCTGGTGCTCCTATCCCTTTTTCCTCCCATTCTTTCTCCTTCAGTGTTTAAGTGTTCTCACTAACCTGTCCTCTTTCATCTGTGGCAACTTGATTCCTCCCTTTCTTCCTCACATTACTGTCCTTTTCCATTGTCCCTCTCCCCAGGTCTTTTTCACTTCAATTTTACTTATTCCTCCTTACTTACCTTTCCCTGGATGCTCCTAGAGGACCACTCAAGGAGCCAAGAAGAGCCAAGATCACAAGAAGAAAGTTATCCTCACTCTAACATCCACTAAAGCCCATGATTATTCATAATTGCACTGGTTTTAGTTTAGGTAGAGGTGACAGAAAATATAAGATTTTCTCTCCAGAGCTGTTTAGGCTACGCATCTGCAAAGGAATGAGCTCGCTGTGCCCTTTCTGCTACATATATTAATTTTTTTCTCAGAGAATGGTACTGAGTTTTCAGTATAACAAATTCGGGATGTGTTGAAAATGAGATTCCACAGATAACTACCATAGATTTAGCTTATTATGCAAGGTAACATTAAAACCCAAAAGCTTTCACATGCACATAAGCAATGGGTCAGGTAAGTACAAAACTGAACATTTCCTTTGACTGTTAAACTTTCTAGGAAATAAAGTACATAGAGTGGCAAAAATGGAACCAGGTTCTGTATTCATTGTATGGTTTATAAAATTACTGTCATGCTCAATGCAGTACAATTGAGGATTTTATTTTAGAGCTCCACTGTAAAAGTTCTCACTAACCCTCTCAATAGCCAATCAACTCAATGTTCTAAAATGCTTTTATTTTGCTATGATTTTTACCTTGTGTGACATTTAAAAACTAGATAAACCCAGATTAACTGACAAGCTAGTGAGAATCCATTCTACTTTTGTTCAACTCAATATCCTAAGATTTCCAGGAGTACTCCAGTAAGAAAAAGATAAAAATATTTTAAAAATAAACATCTGTTTTTTTCTCTTAAAGGAGGATAAAAGTAATTTTTTTTTTAGAAAAATATTATTGATGACAGGTATAGTTTATATCAGATCACATGAAATCACATTTATGTCACTGGAGATCTTTACAATGTAACTTGTGATCTAATCAGCAGGCTTTAAAGTAGTAGAACATTGTGTTTAAAATGTGTAGGTGAGGAAACACAAACCCACAGCCCTATCCAGGTGGTTTTACCTCTGTAATTTTCTTCTCTAACAGTCCCTAATTTGCTGCATGAACCAGTGTTTTGAGAGAAATACAAAAAAAAGCAGAGAAGAGTTAATAAAGCCCTTCTACTCTTAATTTCAGTTTTCTGATGGTAGCAGCTCCTCCCTGTATAGGGACCTTTTTTTAAATGGAAGCATTTATCTAAACAGTATCTATCAAATTTGTACCTGTGAAGGCAATTTATTTATGTAGCTGTTATAATGATATTGCTAGCAATTGCTTTTTTTATTACTATGTACCTTAGTCTTCTTGCATATACAGAAATGAGTTTCTGAGCCCAGGTAAGCAAATCAGCGTCCAAGAGTAAGCATCTCACATAAGTATCTGTTGCATCTATATTTCAATGATAAAATTATGCACCTATGGACTATATGTGTATTTACACATTCACCAATATTTTAGGAAACCATGTTCAGACACCAAGGAACACCATGGTAAAATATGCCTCCCTTCAATATACATCATAGAACTTGCAGAGTAAATTACTTTAATAGGAAGGAAGGAGACTGTGTCTTTTGGATGTATTATCTTAGAAATAATTGGGTTTATATTCTGTCTTCCTTCATTTATATCTTTCATGACACCAATGGCCATCATAACAACTTACTGCTAGTAGATTTTAAAGCATTTGTTGCAAGCAGTGCTCATTGTATAGCATCTGATTTTATAAATCCTGCGAAGTTAACTGATCTAAAATTATTGCATCACATTACAATTCCTGAAAACAGTAATTTTAATAGGTGTGGCTATTCCTGCACAATCACTACAGAGGAGATCTTCAGAGGACATAACAGTTATGTAACTAAAATACTTGGAAACTGGACAGTTGGATATAAATGTTTTGTTGTTAAGGCCAAACAAGTCTTAACAAAGCATAAACAAATTCAAGTTTGTCAGGGTTTCGTAATTTGGCAACATTCACAACATTTTTCACAGACTGCAAAAGGCAAATGGAGGTGACTGAGCTACCTCATATCACCAGATTACCAGAAATTGAGCATGATCAAATAACTTATTCTCAGCTACTTTCTCAGAAATGTCTGAACAGTCATTTTCATGACACTTAACAAAAACATATTAAGATATTTCAAATGAAATTAGTGATACTGAAAGCAGCTAAGTAAAGATATTAACATTTGGATTACAAAATTTTCCTTCACGGGAGATTGCCTTTGAAATGTTTAAAGCTTAATAAACCTATATGTATCTGAACTCAGCATCTTATGACAGGAAGTGCCAGGCAGGCTTGCAGTACTACTAATTCTGCCTCTAGTATCTTCTGTTGAGTACTCATCATTGCCGAATAACCTTTTAGATAAATAGGAATGCCTTAAGTTAATGCATCAGACTCACTAGTAAAATAACTACAATTTTACTAGATGAATCTCTAACGAATATGCAGTATTCATTAAAATAACAGATTTAAAAACAGACAGGTGAAGTGTAAACTCAGGAATAGATTTTTCTGAACAAAGAAATGGAAAGGGAAAAAAGTATCAAAGCAGACAAATAACAGGTAAACAGGGTTTATAAGCCCCATACTACAGAGGATAAAAAAAGTTACTTTTCAGTAGTGGTAGAGATTTCTTTGGCACATTGAACTTAGTAAGTCAATGTAGTCACTGTTGCTTCACATTTCTGGAGAGCCACAGTTATCCAGGCACAAGACAGCATGGGCAGGCTGGCACTGATCTGGACCTGCTGAGAACTCCAGCAGGTGAGATCAAGTCCTGTGATGACACTCGTGTCATGAGGGTCAAGTGTGACTCTTGGTGTATCTCAAGAACATACAGGAAGACAGGAAAAGGTCTTCCTCCCACACCCCCATCAACCCCAGAAACCACACCAGGACTACTGCTTTGCCTTATTTAGGCATCCAGTTACTTTTAGACCTTCCTATTCCCTTCATATGCAGCATATCTATCACAAGGAAACTATCAAAATTTTAACAGCTATGCAAAAAATAACAATTCACAGAATTAATCAGAGATTTCACTTTACTTCTAAATAAACTTCAGGTTATGCACTCTGCCTTCAGTGATTTTTGGACATCACTATTAAACTTTCTTTTTAATCGGTTATCTACACATATTCATTTAAATTTAATTAATATTTCATAGTTTTTAATACCAATTCAATGTTTAAGTTTGGGCTACATGTATATTTTTACTTCTCATAATACTTACGGGTCTTTCGGGCAGAATCTTCTACAAAAAGAGAAGAAATGTCTTCATCCACCCCTGCCTCATTCTTTGCAATACAAGTATATGCTCCTGTATCTTCATAGCGCACATTGCTAATGTGAACCTCACTGCCATTTGCTGAAAAGAGAGGAAAAACTCAACATGCAGACATGCTACACTGCTTTCACATTATATATTCGGAAGGCTTTCTCTGTTTACAATAATTAAACCATTTTCATTCCTGAGTTCCTAACTTGGAGGCATGCCAAACTAATCCAAAGGTATTCAACTGGCTAGTGAATTACATGCACTATTATTATCTCACAGATTTCGCAGTACCTGAGCTGATTTTGCACTTCGGAGACAAATATCAGTTTGAGGTTTTATATATGTTTAAATTACTATGGTTGTCTTTAAAATAATGTAAATACTATGTTTTTATTATATTGCATTTGGTCACTTGACACTATCAGTGACTTTATACAAAATAACCCAGGTTTCCATGGAACATAATGGGCTAAAATATATTATATAATAATTTTTTAATAAAATTACTTGTTTCTAGTAACCAGAGGTACTGTAGCAACAGAAAAAAACAGGTACACTGGAATTTTACACCTACCCCTGTGTAGGAGTCTACAAAAACCACTTCAGGAGTTGCACATCAGCTTGAGTAGGAATGTCAACAAACAGTCCAGGTTGCACAGGCAGAAGTCTTTTAAATAATGTGATGTGAATAATGATGTGACCAGTTGCATTTTAAGTAGAGTATACCTGTTCAATTGTAGGATCTATGTCATAAAAACATCTTTGTAGGTATTCTAAAATACGGACTAGAAGGGCACTGGGTTATAATGTAATACTCCTGTCAAGCCATCTTTTGCTTTAAGCTAATGTATAGATAGTTTAACTCAGGAAAAACTTAGGGAAAATGCAATGAGATTTTCAAAATTTTATTTCAAATAAGTACATTCAAGAAAATGGAATTAAATGTATTTTGCTTAGAGAAGAACCATTCTTATTTATTTATCATAAATTTAGGATACAGAGGTGTGGGGAAAAAAAAATCCACTCAAATCTCTACAGGAGAAATTAGCAGAATGTTGCTAGGGAAGAGGAGTCCACCACTTTCTACTCATAGCAGAAAGTGCTTCTGCAAGGTAATTTTTCACACTCATCAAGAAGAGAGGGCCATGGAACAACAGAGGACTATGACACCTATAGTGAAGGTAAGACTGTCTTCAGAGAAGCATTCACTCTCTGGTTGTCCCACTGTTTCTTACACTGCAGCGTGATTGCTGTTCTATCCTAATACACAACCTGTTTTGCAGATGAATGAGAAGGTTTTGAAGGGAACATTAGCAGTACAAGTTTTTTGGGTTTTGTTTTTTTTTTGTTTTGTTTTGGTTTTTTTTTTTCCCCTATGGCTGATTGGCTGATCAAAAATCACCAGAAGGACTGAAGAAGCTAGAAGGTTTTGTGTTGGACCAGGTGCTGGGTAGATTCATTGAATTTGCTGAGTCCTGAAGATTCATAGAAGATTCACAGACTGTCCTTTATTCTCAATTAAAAGTAAGACTTTCCTTCAGTTGTTCGGGGTTTTGTTTTTTGGTGGGTTTTTTTTGTTTGGTTTTGTTTGTTTGTTTGTTTTTTGTTGCAGTGTCTTTGCGCTCTCCCTGAGGTCTGATGAGACCCCTCAGAAAATAGTACATCCATTTCAGGTATTTCTCCTCCTGTCCCTTCTACCATCAGGTCCTCAAGTCTCACTGAGATTCTTACCAGTTAAAAAACTTCTGTTTTCAACTGAGCTGCAATAAAGGTAAAGTTTGGTCCAAATTTAAATCTAGTCTCATGAAAAATAACTCTTAATAATGAATTATTATTTATAATAATTTATAT